AAGTATTATTAATTTGTAATGTTGTATGAAATAATTTGAAAGTTGGCAGCTGAGCATTTCCTAGCATTCTCTCTTACAAATTTCTGGAGAATTTGAAGTTAGATCCTCAGTTACCTGAAGTCAAGGCAGGTTTAGTGTTCATATTAAAAATGAGTTTTGCTGCTCTTGCAAGGAGAAATTTCTGTTGCTTTTCTTTCAGATTTTCTTAAATATTGGCTAGAGCAACAAGAAGTCTCTAGTCTTGTGTGGCAGGCCAGATCTTCTCAATACACAAAATAATGTGCTTATGGTCACAGCTGATTCTGGTGTTGTTATCATTACTCTGAAACAGGCCAGTTGTCCTGATGAAATAGCTCTATGCCCTGAGAAAAAATTGGAATAAGCAGAAAACCAACATAAAATACTAAGAAAGCAATGTTTTCCTAGTGAAAATCCTGAGGAATACAAACAGTACTGTGACTTTGCATGAGCTCACCATCAAACATCAGTGTTACTGTGAAATGACAGGATCTCATCAGCAGGAGCCTGGGAAGACCCAGTAGCTTTTTGTCAACAGGTTTCTTGCTCTTTTTTCGGTAAATGGGCTCCTGACCTTGAGCATGTTGAAATGGGAAATTCCCTGGATTACAGAGACAAAAGCTGTTTTATTATTCTGTAAGTGTTGGTTTAAGCAGGGCAGATGGGATTTGCAAAACCAGAAGACTGCTGAGCAGCTTCTGTCAGCTTGTCTTTGGTCAGCACTGAATGATCTGTAGTCACTCCTGGTGCTTCAGAAGAGCTGAAGCAGTGCTATGGAGTCTGCTGCTTAGCTCAGAGGTCAGAGCAGGGCACCGAGAGTTAGGACTCCTGTAACTTTTCCAGGCGAGTCACTTTAACTACCCTCCATTCACCTTTAATCCCTGAAATGCAATTTAATATTGCTATTAGTATTTATAAAACGTGTGTGGATCATGGGTGCAAATTCCTCTATACATGCACATTTTTATCATCCACTGTACTCTGATTTCCATAAGATGTGTAAAGCCATCTCTTTGGCCACCATTTTTGCTGCCTCTTGTCATTGAAAGCTGTTTCATGGAGTTGTGTGTGCTGTCTGCACTCATTTTCCCTCTTTCTGGAGTTGATGCTTGACAACAGAAGCAGGTAGAAGCTGTGTTTCTGCCCAACTGGATCAGAAGGCCAGGCTCACTGCCTTCGCTGTTAATTTTGCATTGCCCACTTTCAGAGTGGTCTCCAGGAATTAAATTCTCCCTCTCTTACACACAGCCAAGTGTTGGCACCCATATTTTGTAGGTCAGAGGTTGGTGTCCAAAATCAGAGCCTTTCCAACTTTTGGGACAGATACAGGGTGAGGGCTTGGGCATTTATGGCACCAAGAACCAACCTTTGCCCATCCCCACAGAGCCTCAGTACAAGTCAGCCTTGCTAAAGCCCCTACAGAAGAAATTTTTTTTTTTTTTCCATTTTTGCTTTGTGGTGAGTAGGGTACAAATTATCTCAGCAGGAGATTTTGTTCTCAGGGGCAGGTGAGATCCAACTTCACTGTTATCCACAGGTGTTCATAGGAACTGGTGAAAGGAGATGCCTATTGACACTAGCCTTTAGTAAAGAAAACAGTATGAATCCATACATTGGTCCATGGAATTAATATCTTTATTTGAATATTTATATTTGAATGAGAGTGGGCCTGGAGAGCTATAGTTTTTATAAATTAGAAGTTTTCCATGTTTGGGTGAGAAAAAGAGAAAGTAAAGAGATTGAATTGGAATTTAAAGATCAAGTGTATCTAGATTTCAAAATCCTACAGAACATGACTGAAGTTGCCAGTTTTCTCCTACTTTGGGTAATTCTGCTGGTTTCTCAGGGAACAAGTCACATCAGCAAAGCTAAGCATGGTTTGGAGGGCTGGAGGCCACCTCTTGGATTATCTCTGCTCTGGAAAGCAATGATTCCCACCAGGAAGGTAGTTTCAGGATCTGTGACATATTTTGACGACATTGAGGGCTGCTTGGTTTGCTTTGAGATGGCAACTCGCTGCTGACTTGGCAGGGGTTTGAGAGCTGTGTACCTAAGGCTGTGTGTTGGAAGAATACCCTTTATAGATAGGGAATCAGAGCTACTTATTCCCATGTGTTTTGTGAAATGCTGATATTCTCCTAAAAATGTTATTGCCCAGAAAGAAGGTGCCGTTCGAGTGAACTTGTTAAGAAACCCAAACGTGATTCCATAATCTTCATTTATGCTGTTTATGCATAATATTTTGAAAGTGTATGTAATGATCTGCTTTGTAAGGTGCTGCATGTATCACTGTGTATATAGAAAACCTCAATAAAAACATTTAAAACATTTGGGTTTACAGTCTGCATGGAAGATTGCAAGTTATTTAATTATTTGTCTCTGTCCAGTAATACTAGTTTTAAAGTCTGTGGAACTATTGTGCCTTCCAGAGAATATTCTTCGATGGAAGCAGGTTTTTCAGGAAAGGACCATTTTATTATCCACTGATCAGCTTTTGGACTTCTTTTTTAATTCTGTTAATTGCCACCATCCTTTAGAGAATACACGTCTGAAACCATACAGCCAAGGCTTTCTTTCTCTTTCATCTTCAACTAATCCTATAGCTTCTATTTGCATCACTTAAATTTACAGTATAAAGTGATATAAACCATCTTTTTCTTAGCTGTGGTATCGCAGGTACTTAACAGCATGCACCTCCAGAGGGCCTGTTGCTCTGAAGCCTCAACCTTGCATGGTGGGAGTGAGTGGGAGTTTTGTGACTGAATTTGGGGGTTCAGGATCCAGCCTTAACTGCTGTAACTTTAGTGGTGACCTGGCATTCAAAAGAATGGCTCATATCTCTAAGTAGAAACATTCTGCAACTTCTGCAGGTTATGCAAATCCAGCTTTTCCTCCTCTTCTGATGAGTCAACAAACCTTTTCCTGGCAGTCAAACAACTGAAAAGATGTTTCTTACAGTGTAAGAAGATAAAGGTCTATGCCTATTGTATTTTCTACATAGTGAGTCAAAGGCAGAGAGAGGATGGTCAGCACATCCTTAACCTCTGCTTTCCCATGACTGACTTTACCACAATCATTTTGTACTTTATTCTTACAGCTGTTAGTACAGATTAAGTGTTAAGAATAATGTACAATTTTGATGCTGTAGTATTAAACTGAAGAGATCAAGATGAGACAGAAACAGTGAAGAATTAGGGCAGCTCACCAAGTCTGAGGAGGCTGATTTAGGTTGCACCTTCAGGCACTATAAAAGCACGTAGGCCAAGGTAGTTCAAGGTAATTCACTATAAACTCTATGCTGCAACAACCAGCCGAAACTGCTCATTATCTGTCACCTGCTTTTGATCTTCTGAGATATCTTTAAGACACTTGTCTGAAGCTGTATAGAAAGAAGGAAATTTAACTTCAAGGCTTGACTATCAGAGGACTCTGAAAAAGAGATAGTTTCCCTTTTGTAATAATTTGATCATTGTCCTTTTCTGACCAGAGCTTTGCTCTTTTGTGATACTTCCAATTTTTGCTTGCAAATTATCCACTGCAGGAAACCAGGATGAAATTGGATAATTGGGTTTGGGAATGCATTTAAAGAAGAAGAAAATACCTCCCATGTCAACATAAATTTTTCAGAAATTGCCCCATTGCTCAAGATTTTTTGATTAATTCACAGAACTTGGCACCTCTGCCTGTAGGTATTGGCTGGCTGCTGGGGAGAAAACCATGCAACAGCAGGAATCTTCTAAATCTTTTCTCCCTTTGCTGTAGTGGAGATATTTGCTCTGTGATTTCTTTTGGTCAAATAGCTATTTCATTTGGATTTTTTGTGTACAGGACAGTTTACAAAGAAACCAACTTGTTCACAATCTTCAGTGAACAGAAACTTAGCTGCATACACAAGGCATTACTTTGGGTCTTTTCTTTCTATACTCTTTGGAACAGAAAGTTTGCTAGAGCAAAGTGTCAAAGGAGTCATGTTTATTTTTTGCTATGATTTGTATGTGTTTATAGTGGCAGTGCAGTAAACCTAGTTTTTGACACAGTTTTGGCTCATTTTTCTTATTGCTGGCTCACTGGTGATAAGACAGCTGATTAATGTGTTGTTTAATTTCCTTTGTCTTTTTGTTCTTAAAAGTTTTTGCAACAATGCATAAAACCCCAGTAACAATAGCTGATTTTCCAAATCATGGCAAAAATTTGTTCTAAATTTTTTTTCAAAGATAACACCAAGACCTTTCTGTATAGTTTATATTCTTCAACACATACTGTGAGCAGAGTAATACATTTATTCAGTCTGTAATAGTCTTTCAATAAGAAAATGTTTCTGTTTTATAAGGAGAATTTAATCTGTTGGCCACAACATCAACCCAAAGATGAAACGGGTCTTCCTTTTGCTGTTTTTTTTACTGTATACGTCAGTGATTTGAAATGGTCTGGCTAAAATACTGCAGTGGCTGCCCATGGTAGTACTTTGCTTCAGATTTCTGTATCAAAAACTGACATCTTCCTAAATGGGTTTGCTCACTGCAACCAGTGAGTAAACTGTGGTCCTTGCCTTCCCCATTTCTGTTGTAGTGGGAATCTTCTCCTTAAGAGTCCCCTTTTTCTGCGGAGGGACTTCTTAATTTGGGAGGCCAGGAGCTGTTCTCCTGGAGGTGGTAGATGCATTCGAGGCAATAGTTTCTTATGAGAATCTCAGCTGCCTTTAGACTTAGGAAACTGGAAAAGCTGGGAGTCAAACAGAGCTGAGAAAACTGGCTTTGGATGTGCTGAATGCCCTGCTCATCAGCTCATCACTCACATCAGTTAATTGCTGCCACCCCCCCTGCCCCTGACTCTGTGGCTGAATGATATTTGGTGTCTTAGTGATACTTTGGGTTAGATTTGCAACATGCAGACACCCTCTGCTTTACCTGCAGGTGGAAGAAACTTGGCAAATAACTCTGGTTTCCCCAAGGACTTGATTTTGTATTTCTTTCTGCTTGTAGGTGTCACTCCGTTTCTCCACCACCTCTTTTGTCCCTGCGAAAAAGCCCAGCCTACCCCCTCAGCGACAGTGAGGACTCTTGCCGCTCTACGCGACTCACCAAGGTCTCCAACTCCAGATTGCGCCTCAAGGACTGGAGCAGCCGTACATCTGCGCTGCGAAGCACCTCCACAAGTGCATCGGACACCGACTCCCCGAGCCACCCTCTTAAAGCCATCAGTGTGGGTGCTTTGGATAAAAGATTGTCTGTGTTCAAGGCTGAGGACCAAAAGGAGAGTCCAAAGGAGGCTCAAGATGGGGAAGCAATAGGGAGCCATTCACTCACCCGGAGCACCCTGTCCTTGGGCACCGCCACCAACTTGAGGAACCTCTCCCTCAGCCGGGCAAGCATACGCTCCCAGGCGCTGGACATCAGGCAGAAGATCACAGAATGGGAGTGCCGCCGGGAGCTGTCCCCCAGGATGAGCACATGTGTGGACAAGAGGGATGCTGGGGAGAGGTCAGGCAGTGACAGCTGCCCCAGCGTGCTGACCTCTCCCTGCAGTGAGAAGACGTTCGATTTCAAAGGGCTCAGAAGAATGAGCCAAACATTTTCCGAGTGTTCTTACCCAGAAACAGAGGAGGAGGAACTGCTGGACAGAGATTCTTGTCATCGGTTTGAAAAGAGATCAGGCAGGAGCGAGACTCCTGCTGCTGCTTTCCTCAAGGGCCATGTGAGGAAAGAGTCCTCTGCTGTGCTCAACAGAATACAGAAGATCGAACAGGTGCTGAAAGAGCAGCCCGGCAGAGGCCTCCCCCAGTTACCAAGTAGCTGTTACAGTGTTGATAAAGGGAGGAAAAAATCTGTGACTCTGAGTACTGTGGAGGGACTGAGTGAAGCCGCAAGTGATAGCAAAGGAGGGAGTGTTATTTTGGGGAGTGAACCAGAGACGCCTACTGAGACTGAGAAAACCAGTAAGATAAAACAGGGGATTACTGCAAACTCAGCTGGCCCTAAACTGCTCCTCGAAAGCCCAGCTAACAGCGCAGTGAATCCTGTCCCCAAGCCCAAACGCACCTTTGAATATGAAGCAGACAAAAACCATAAAAGTAAACCAAGCAATGGCCTACCTCCATCTCCTACACCTGCTGCTCCTCCTCCCCTCCCATCCACCCCGGCACCCCCTGTGACCAGAAGGCAGAAGAAAGAGTCGCGCTTTCACAGAAAATCCCAGAATAGGTAAAATTCAACAAAATGTGCTGAATCTTCAAATAAATAAATGTGCTGTGTTTTTTTTTTTGGTTACAGTATTTTACATTCTCCTTTTAATGCAGTGTTTTTGAGAAATGCTATGAGTTGTGTGCAAGACAATTATTCTTTCTTCCAGACTGCACCAATGGGATGTGCTGGTACAATACCTTTGCATGGCCACAGTTCTGGAGTTCTCCAACTTTCATTCCTCAATCCCTGAAAAAGACACTAGGCTCACTGCAAAACATACCTTCAGAGGGTTTGTGTTTCCAAAGCTTGTTACTATAGCAGTTGTGTCAGTTTTATGCAGTGTTGGTGATTTTACTTTAATTCAGTGCTTAGAAATGTTGTCCTAAATTACTATCAGTAGCTGTAGAGGATTAATGCTGAGAAAACCATGTTTTAGCATAGAAAGGGCTTTGTGTCTTCCCTGAGTTAATGATGAGCAGACGATATGGCTACATTTCCCAGGAGTCTTGGAGCTTGACTTCTTTTAATTAGACGATTTCTCTTGTGTTTTGGAAATGTAAAGCTCATTCTGCTCACTGCTTAGAAAATTGTACGCTTCTTTGTTGATAAGCATTCAAAGTATGGCATTTTTAACAAGTTCACCTACCTGTGCATGTGTATGAGATACACAGACTCTTGGTATTTAGTGATGGGCTTTGCAAGTAACTGTTAAACAGCATCTCAGGCCCACGTTATCAGTTCAGCACCTGGTGCTTGATGTTGGCTCTATCAATTAAAAGTTTGTGTCAGCACAACCCGACCTGAAGTGTGATGAGTCCAAAATTGGGGAAGAGAAGCCTTCAGAGTCTGCTCTACTTTTAGGAGATACCTGCTTCTGAAATGGATCAGACAGATCTGCTGATGTGTGTTGTTTCTCTGGGAAAGGGAGGGAGTGTGGAAAGCCAGGCTGTGATTAGCAGTGCTTATCTTCTGAATTCTGGCAACAATCTCAGTTAGAGGAAGTAAATCTAGTTTTTAACAAGAATTTTTGTAACAAAGCTGACCTAATTTTGTTCAGCACAGCATTTCCAATGCATTGAAGACATTGATTTTTAAATGTTCTGCTATAAATGATAGCCTTTATTAGAAAATTAAGGTGAAGAAGTAAAATGGTCTGTGTAGTGGGTGGCAGAGAAGAATGGATAACAGGAGATAATTCTTGCAGAGAATCACCTGTGGCTAAGTGATCCAAGTCAGTCTCCGAGTACATGCTCACGCTGAGTTTGAGACCACACAAGTCATCTCAGAACCACAGTATTTTGTTACAATGAGTTTGTGACCTGAAGTTTTGAATCTTCTTTCAAGAACAGGCACAATTTATGCTTGCTGTTGCTGCTCTGCAGGTTCAGTCTCCTATCATAGCAGAGTTAGCAGCACTGTTCAGCAAAGGAGCCTTTCTTCTGGGTGGGGCTAGTAAGTACAAACCTGAGAGAAAAGCAATATTTATCAATTTAAGCTGTGATTAGTGGAGGGTAAATGGAAGGATTTGCAGTGTTATCATATGTACCTGATATTCTTGCGAATCAGTTTGACATTGTACAGGGTAGGTTTCCATTTGTTTGTAACAGCTTTGCCCTACTGTAGTTTAGTGATTTCTCTGGACTTACCTTTGATTAATGTTGATCTAAATAAGCTTAAATCAGTCTCCCAAAATCACAGGTTTGCTGGCTGACTTCAAGACTGGGTGGAAATCCTTTATAAAATATTACCTTTGTTGTGTTTGCTACTGTCCTTTCTTTCATAACAATAAGGAGAATTCCATCATTTACAATGAGCATGAGACCATACAACTTATCTAAGAATGACAATATTTAGTATTAGTTATTGAAATCTCAGTCTCTAAGCTGTTCTCTTTTTGAGAACAGATGTTATTTTTTTTTTTTTTTTGAGAACTGCTCTCTGTTTGAAACATTATGTCTACAGCCTGTAGCTGTGTTTTTCACTTGAACGAATGTGGTTTGCACTCACTAGAATGTCATGAGAATCAACTGTGGATATTTATTCTTCAGACATTTTGGTTGAAAACAGTGGTTTTTGTTTTGTTGGCTAATTCAACAATATAGTAAAATGGAGGAAGTCTCTTATATTCCCTGCTAGCATAGAACCAGTCTGTATTCAGAGGACCTGGTGCCCACAGTAGCTTTTACACCTCAGATTGATGTGAGCTGGACATTCCCTAGCAGCTGGAGATCCTCTGATGCAGACAGAATGCAGGAGAGGAGTGTCATAGGATAGGCTAGGGTCACACGGGCCACAGGTGAATGCTGGTCCACAAAACTATCCCCGTGTTCCTATCCAGTGTCATTACATCATAGCATTGCCTTGAAATCTATAAGAGTTAGGTATTTAACTACTTTAGAAGGTCTCATTTCATACACAGGTATGTATTCAGTGCTTGAGCATCCTTTATAACTGTGAGTATGTCTGGAGGAATGGATATCTGGATCTGAAATGCATGGTTTGTTTCTGCCATGATCCTGATGTGCATAACATGGACCTGGATATTCTTAAACTAGGGAAAGTAGAGAGAAAGGGCTCCTAAGCCTGCCCCAGACCCATAAATCTGCTCCAGCTGACAAATAGGAAATGCTCTTGTCAAATGCAGTGTCTGTATAATAGTCCCTGTATTGCCTATAGGGATACTCTTGAACCAATTCACAGACTGAAGTTGGTCTCATGAGAGTCTGCCACTGCCATGTGGATGTTCTGTCAACATATGTTTCACTGTAGTAGGGGAGAAGAGGAAAGGGGGTTTTACTGCAGGATGGTTTGCTGTTAATCTAGTTTGAGTATCAATGAGTGAAGTATGAGCATCAGCACAGCCTCTGCAAGCCTTACAGCATCTCGGGGTTTACACCCTGACCTAAGCTCATTTTTCCTACCACTTCATCCTCAGCATTGTCAATAAAATGAATGCTAGCCCCTGTATAGCTGGCATGCAAACCATGCACCTCCCAGCTTTAAGTGTAGACTTTGCCTCAGAACAAATAAGTTAGAGAACATGGAGGGCTTGGCCTTCTCCTCCCCTAGAGCTGCTCAGCAGCACTGGGGCAGGTGTGGATGAGAGGTGGTGAAACCCCCCTCCTTCATGTACTCAGGTAGGAGACAAGTTGTTTTGGTTCATCTGACCCAGCTGTCCTTCACCTTCCTGACAGAAAGCCCAAACTTTCAGGCCCCCAGCCATCAAGCCTGGTTTGCTTGTCCATCCCAGAGAGACTTAATTTCCTCTATCCTTTGTCATTTGCTGCCAGAGCTTGACACAGGCTGTGCAAGGAAATGGGTGACTTTCACATAGGTCTGCCTTTGGCATTTGCAGACTGACCTTTATGTGGGAACATCTCTAAAGGTTCAAGATGTGAGTGTTTTCAGACTAAGGGTATCTTCCTTGACCACATGTTTCTGGGGGCCCTGGCAAGAGCAAGGCAATTTCTAGCCTGTGCTGCTAACTTACTCTGTAGCCTTTGAAAAAGATCACATATTTTCTTAGTATTTTCTCCTTGCCCACACAGAGGGGATAACTACTTCCAACCTCATGAAAGTGTCACATATTACTACGCTAAAGACTGCTGTGAGCACTGGACTTGAGGTCCCCTAAAAATTAGTCCTTAGAGCATCATGTGTGATTGGTTTTTGTTGGTTATTTTACAAATATTTCTTAGCAAGCAAATGCTCAGCTAAATGTTTGAGTCATTTTGCATTCTAGTTACTAATTACTTACTATTTTAAACTTCAGAAAATCCTTTGAGTTTGAGGATGCATCAAGCCTGCAATCCGTGTACCCTCCCTCCCCAACTGAAAATGGGACTGAGAGCCAGCATAAATTTGGATCCAAGAGCACTTTAGAAGAAAATGCCTATGAAGACATTGTAGGTAAGAACCTGCTGCAGAACATGGGCTCACAGCTGATCTGTTGTGGCCAGTGAACATATGCTCTGTGCAAGAACATTCAATGTGGTCAGTAAAGAGGGATTAAATGGAGAGTAAATGGGTTTGATGCATCAGTGCAAACATAACCCTCAGTTGGCTTACAGGTCTTAATGCCTTCAGACTTCATTGGGCGGTACTGGAAAAAGACTGTTTGGTCAGCTTTTTGCCATGCTTTTCAAGAACCAAATAATTTTTTTTATCGAGGCTTTGGCTTGAAGCCTTGAGTGGTGTAAAAATGTAAAGAACTGAACTTTAGATGGTGTTTACAGAGCTATCCAATGGCAAGATTAACCTCATAGGCTTTGTGAGCAAGCCTGAGCTTTTCAGGGCTCCTATACGGGCTGCCTCAAAGCAGTTGTTTGTAGCACAGTTCTAGGTCTCCCTTAAGTCCCAGTTGCTAGTTAAAGAAAAATTAATTTCCTTTAGCTGTACAACCATCAGGAATGTGCAACAAAAAGACTGTTTTGATTAAGCTTCACAAGAAAAACATGTTTCTTTTTGTCTTAGAAGGAAATGTATGGCCTATGCATACATTCTTTTAGCATCAAAAAAGTTGTTATAATTACTGAACATTGGGCAGCCCTTCAAAGCAGATTTTCCACACAAGTGATGACTATCTGCATTGTTTTTAACTCTTTCAGTGTTGTATTATTACAGCAGATACAAAGGGTACTTCATTTTACTTTAAACAATGAATCTTTATCTACTGAAAACTGGAGAACTACCAAGATAGTCAGGGGCCCTAGAGCACTTGTCCTCTGAAGCGACACTGACAAGCTGGGCTTGTTTAGCCTGGTAAGAAGGACCAGAAGTGACCTAATACTGCATACAAATGTTTGAAGGGCAACAAAGATGATAGAACAAAACTCTTGTTGGCCCTATCAGATACAGCAAGGAATAGTGGCCACAAATTGCAGCCTGGGGCTCTTTGTGCTTATACCCAAATTCTGCCTCTATCTTGTCAGCTTCAGTGAAAACAGGAATTTACTCTTCCCATTTTCATCTGTACCCTCCCTTTCAGAATACACAAAAATGCTGCTGTTCAGTATCTGTTAATAAAAATTGAGAGCTTTTTTGGACACTAAAAATTCTTTTTCTGTCCTTGCAATTCATACTTGAAAATGTATAGTGCATTAATTACAATGCTCATCTTTGCTCAGGACATGTCAGCGTGCTGCCAGATGCTGGGTGGTAATGCTTCTTTTCCTTGCTTTGGTTTGGTAAATGTCAAAATAAAATGTGCAGGATTGGTAAGAAGCTCTTTTCAAATGAGAATAAAACTTGTGTTCAGTAAAACAAAATCATAATGGGCTTTTCCAACTCATGGGAACTATAAATCAGCTCCCTGCAGATTATAATTTGGGCATTTTGGCAGGGCAGTGGGAAGAGAATGCAAAATTTCAGATCTGTGGACAAACAGAGAACTTCATTGTTTTGTACTGCTTTTTAAGAAACTCTTTCCAAAGCACTTCATTCAGTGCAGGCATTGCAGGGGGAATACCAAATCAGTATAATTCTTATAAACTGTCAAGCATGATTAAAGACAAGCCAAAGTAGTTTGATCTCCAGCTTTAAAGAAACTATCGTAGTTTTGTGTATCACATCTGCATAATTTATGCCAGTAGTGCTAGACCCCAGCCTCTAAGTAGCCCTTTTGTACTCATGCAAACCAGGTGTCCGTAAGAGTGAGTTTATTTTCTAGATTTCCATCTGCTTCAAAGCTGTAAAGGACTCCGTCATTGTTGCTTTTGGTTTTCCTTACAACCAGTTGCTCTAGAGGTGGTGGTATCTAAATCTGGTTGAAACTCCTGCCTCCCTAAAAGCTTGTAGGTAGTTAAAATATTGTCACTGTAGTAATAAACTTTATTAAGTTTATCATTCTTCCCCCTACCTTTCCCTGTAGAATTAAAACTTTTAATGCCAGTAGGTGCTAAAACACAAGGGAAAAAAAGGCTGCAAATCATGAGCAATGCTTTAAGCACTGTACTGTGAGACAGAATCATAAAAAATATTCTGTTTGGAAGGGACTCTGGAGTCATCTGGTCCAACCTCTGCTCAGAGCAAGGCTAATTGCAAAGTTAGATCAGGGTGCTCAGGGCTACATCTGGTTGAGTTTTCAAAACACCTTAGGAAGATGGTTCCATTGTCTCTCTGTGCAGGCTGCTCTGCTGCTTAACCTCCAGTGTGAAGGATTTTTTCATTCTGAATTCTCCTTGTTGCTGTTTGTGACCCAGCTCTTTCATCCTGTAAGAAACACCTGGCTCTGCCTTTTCCATAACACCTTCTAGGCAGTGGAAGACAGCAACCGGGTTTCCCCTCAGACTTTTCTAGGCTAAGCAGTTCCAGTTCCCTCAGCATTTTCTTGTTTATGTTGTATGCTCCGGCCCCCAGCCATCTTGGCAGCCTTGCTCTAGACTGCCTCCAGTCTGTTGATGTCTCTGTGGTACTTTGAATACTCCTTGCAAGGGCCAAATACAGGGGAATTACCACTTCTTGTGACTTGCTGGCCACACTCTTTCTAATGTAGGCCAAGGTCTGGTTTGCCTTCCTTGCCCAGCATGTACTGCCACAGGGTTATTCTGATCCACGGATGGGACTGTATTTGTCTTTCCTAATCTTCCCGAATTTCCTGTCAAGCTTTTCCTTCAGTTTGCTGAGGTCTCTGGAACAGAAGCTCAGTACTCCTGCCTGTCACTGCATCTCCCAGCCTGGTACCCCTCAGCAGGGCATCTCTCCCTCACTGGAAAGCAGAGGAGAGCTGTGACTAAGTTGTCAGCTATCAGAGGGTATCCTCTAAAAGGCATATTTAATGTTAGATATCTATTAGATACCGTGTGGTATTCAGGTACCGATACTATTCAGAATAGTGCAAGGATCAAAATACAGCTTCTAAGCATGAGTGCTAGGACTAGAGTCACCGGATTTGTTGGTTACTACGTGATCTCCTTATGTGGTGCATATGCACACTAAACCTTTGCCCTTATACTGTTTCCTTCTTGAATAACAAGGACAGTGATGAACTGTTATGAGTAGTTGACGTTATTTTGAGGGCTGACTTTAAATTAAAAAAGAATAATTAAGGTACGTTAAACCAGAAGATGAATATGACATCATGAACCAGACACTTTGTTTAATTTTGTGCACTTTAATAGATGAAATTTCTGCATGTTAAGTTCAAGACAGGTATTAGATTGGACCATAATGATCCATTCTGCATTAATCAGGAAGCAGTTGTATAAAGGGGTGCACTTTCCTAATATTAATCAGAGCTGTGCTCCACGTGTAAGGAGCCATGTGGATTTCATTCATCTGCTGTACTAGCACTTCCAGGAATGTGGCAGTCATAGTAAACTTAACGTTGTTTTACTTCTTGTGGTTTTGAGTGAGTCTTTAATCAGACCAAAATTGATGTGGCTTTATGAATCCAGCTGGGGGAACCACGCTTGGCTTTGTGTGAATTCAACAAACTATCATAGTATTAAGATATGTCTGAGATGGTTGCTTCTGCTATTTTTGTGAACAACAGTATTTCCCGTCATATGCATCATACAGTTTCAGTTTTCCAATCTGTTTCCCTCAATGCAGTTGAGATATTTGAATATTGTTATTTAACATCTGGTGTCTCTGAGGCGTTTTTCACCTGTTATCTAGAAGAAAGCACCTATTATCACCAAAAAAAAAAAAAGTTGAATGAGTAAGTGAAGGCAAGGTTAAGGGCAGAATATAAAGGTTAACTTGAGAAAATCTAGTGAAGACATGTAAATTATTGTTAGTGTTTGTAAGAGAAATTGCACTCACAATTCAGAATTGAAATGTAGTGGAAGAAATCTTTCACAAGACAAGCCTTCTTATCTTCATCACATAGCCCAGGCTTATGAGTATCAGGTTATTTGTCTTCTAACGGCTAGTCTCTTATTGAAGCAATAGTAAAAGTACAGTTTGTGTAAGAATGGGTTTATTTCAGCCACATATATTACCACAGAGAGGTTTTGCCCCAGTGAGCTTCCTGTTCTGTCTGACTGGCTCACGTGCAAGACTGGTGTCTGCTCACTAAACTGCAATGGTCCAGAGCACTCTTAGAACTCTGTTAACTAACATGAAAGACAACCCTCATGAATTAACCTCTTTTAGAGTCCCCAGCTGGTATTAGGCTGTACTTTTCTTTAGAACAAGTCTGGCTTGACTTTGTGGCTGGAGCTCTTTCAAGTACTCACTGTGTTGGGTTGCAGAACCCATGTTCTTTCTGGCTTGGTCACATGCATTGGTGTGTGCCCGGCAACCTACAGTGATGTTAGCCCTTCCTCTGCATTGGTTGGCAGGCTTCCTGGTAGCATTTCCCCAGTGCATAGATCTGCTGGAATTGTTCCAGGGCTGAAATAGATCTTTAGTTCATTTCTCTTCATGAAATTCCTGTGAGGAGAACATAAATGCCTGCTACTGCCCTGGGGAAGTTTTGGTGTTTCACTGGCAGCAGCATCCCTAGGAACACAAGGTCTTGGGATGCCAGCACATGCCAGTTACATATAGCTTGGCCTGTTCTATCTATGCCAGAAGTTAGGTAACATGCCAAAGGCATGGTAGGTATCGATACCAAAAGTTGTTAGAGCTGCTTGGTGGCAGGCCCCAGTGCTGTACATATCACTAGGCCATGTGCCTCTCCATTAACCTTGCAGTTGATACAATCAGCAGTATGGAGCTCCATTGTTCATTAAACACAGGTATTTTTTCAACTAACACTATAGGGTATATTGTGGAAGAAGGAGTTCATCAAATACCTGCTGACTGAGGCCGTTTTTTTCAAGGAGACTCTAGCAGCCAGAATGTGAATCTGGGCAAATGGATTAGCTGTAAAAGAGGGACAGATAACCTGGGCAAGAGAAAGATAGTCAAAAGTGTATGTCGGGCAACTGGCACAAATTCCTGTGAAAAAAAACTTTCCTCCA